AATACGAATTTGGGAAGTGAGCCAGAACACGGCACGACTACATTTGAAGCTTCCGCATTCGGTCAACTTATCTCGATGCTCAACTGGTCTGTAATTAAGCGAAGTAGTCAGTTGACAGACAAGTTGCTGCGACTTCTGTCCTTGATCTCCATCGGCTTGACGGAAGTAAATCCCTATCGGCGGCAGGACGGTGCTGCAAAGAATAAGAAGACTGAAATCAATAAGGATCAGAGTGTGGCCGCACCTGAAGGCCACCTCAAGCTGGCCGTGCAGGTTTTGACTAGTAAAAGTTGTTCCGAGGATGGACTTGAAGATGCAACCGCTCTACTACTTAACTTATCTCATTGTCCTGATCCTACTAGACAATTGGTGCGTATTGGTTCTTGCGTCCGATTCTATCAATTTAGATTAATTTTAATCTCAGTTTAACTTATTTTTTATACTTTTCTAAGAGTCAGAAAAAGATAAATTAAGTTGACATTAAAGTTAAATTATAAATTGATAGAAATAAACATACAGTCTAATATAAACGATATTAATGCTAGTATTAATATTAATGATAAAGTTAATATTTTTTTCTTTCTCTCTTTAGATATTAAAATTACTCCTAGAAGGTGCAATGGAATTGGCAAATATGGTGTGCGAACATATCAATGATTTGATGATGGAATTAAAAGTTCTAAATCGTGAATTAAGTCGAAGAAATTCCTTGGAGGATCAACCGTCGACCAGTAGTGGGAATGGACGAGGAATTTTATTAGATAGGTAAAATATTTTCGTAGTACGCGATTTTAAATATCAAAGTGTGTCAAGTTCCATACGCTTTGCGTTTTCGAAAAGCGAGATAGTTGTTTATAAAACTTTCTCTTTCCAGATTTACTAATGAAAATGTAGTCGTCACAGCACCGAGTAAAGTTAAAGCCGGAAGTGACCTTCAATTACCATCGATGGCTGCTCTTGTCAGTAAAACCTCTAGTCAGGCATTCTTTTTGAGAATACTTAAAGTTATTGTTCAAATAAGGGAAGCTGTGCGCTTAGCAAACACCAAGAAAACAAGTATGATATTTATGACTTCATTATAATTTTACCTTATCATAAATTTTTAATATTTTATTATTTACATTAAATTTTTACAATATTTACAAATTAAAACTTTTATTTCAAGCTAATCAAACAACAACGGAAACAGCTATGGATACAGGCACAACAAGCAATGCGTCAGAGACAGGTACTTTTATATCTCTGCCTATTATTTCTATATATAATTTGTCCTAAGTTAATATTTATATTAAAAATTAATATATCTTGTTATAGCCACCGACAATGCGGACACCGATGTTCCTATGGATACAACGCAAACAAATACTTTGATCCTTGAGAATTCAAAGACGTCCTCTTCTCGCAATGGTAAGTCGAGCATATTAACGATTATTTTTGCTGTAATATTTATATCTGTTTTTTCCTTTTTGTTTAGACGAAGAGAAAACCGCACTTCCATTGCTGAGTGAGAGTTTAGTATTAGATAGCTTATGGGAAACTCTTAGCGCTTGCTTACTTGAATTAGAATACACTCCTGATCATCATGCCGTCCTCGTTTTGCAGGTAAAGAATTAACGATTATCATCTTAGAAGTCTATTGTCACCGAATTATTGTATCGTTATTACTGATCATTATTAGATTATTTATGGTACAAACATATATATATAATATATATATATATATATATATGTATATCTAACATTGCAGCCTGCGGTAGAAGCGTTCTTCTTGGTGCACTCCTCTTCAAGTACGTCCCGAGACCGAGAAAGTCGTCTCAACACGACTAGCGAGAATCGAGAAGTGGTACCAGACTTAGCACCAGTTTCTCCGATATATTCGGACAATGAAGGTACTTCTCAATCGGAAACTCCCGCTAACGCTTCCTGGGAACCTACCCCCCCGGTGAAAACATTACCACGGGATCAACTAAAGTTCCTCAAATTTGCTGGTACGTATTAATTGATAAGATGAATAAAAGTCATAGTTGCTACTAGCAATTTAATTTAATATGTATCTTATTCGCACAGAAACGCACAGAACTGTGCTAAACCAAATTCTACGACAAACGACTACACACCTAGCAGACGGACCGTTTTCCGTATTGGTGGATCACACAAGAGTGTTGGACTTCGACGTGAAGAGACGATATTTTAGAACAGAATTAGAACGGATGGACGAGGGTATACGCAGAGAAGAATTGGCAGTCCACGTTCGTAGGAGCCACGTCTTCGAGGATTCATTCAGAGAGCTTCATCGTAGAAACGCTGATGAATGGAAAAATCGATTTTACATCGTCTTCGAAGGTGCTGATCCCTAAAATTTATCCTGATAAGTTTGTACGAACTTCGCAAAGTCGATGTTGAGTAACACTTTATTTCTTTTTTTAATTCAAACAGGCGAGGAAGGGCAAGACGCGGGAGGATTGCTGCGAGAGTGGTACGTCATTATCTCGAGGGAGATCTTCAACCCAATGTATGCCCTGTTCACTGTCAGCCCTGGCGATCGAGTAACATACATGATAAATTCGTCCTCGCACTGTAATCCCAATCATTTGTGTTATTATAAATTCGTGGGTCGGGTAATTGGTAAGTGTTCGATTCGAGATTTTTTGAAAGCCTATCAGATGCAAAAGATAATTCTTCTATGCTGCGATTTACGTTACTTTTACAGCTAAGGCTATTTATGACAACAAATTGTTGGAGTGCTACTTCACGCGTAGTTTCTACAAGCATATACTTGGCATACTCGTGAAACATACGGATATGGAAAGCGAGGATTATAGTTTTTACAAAGGACTCGTTTACCTTACGGAACATAATATTTCCGACTTGGGATACGAGTTAACATTCTCCACGGAGGTAAGGAGCGATTATTTCAACATAATTTTCGGTTTCATATTCCGATTATTAAATAAATGCGTGTCTTCCAGGTGAACGAATTTGGCGTTAATGACGTGCGAGATTTAATACCAAATGGACGTAATATAGTTGTTACAGAAGAGACCAAACTTGAATATATTAGGCTCGTGTGTCAAATGAAGATGACTGGGGCAATTCGTAAACAGTAAGTAGATTTGAAGTTCCAAAATCGAGTAGAAGGATCTCGTTTGCTTCGACTATACTGTAATTTGTTTAATTGTTACTTTTCCTCACTTTCATATTTTAAATCTTTCCCTGCAGATTAAATGCATTCTTGGAAGGCTTTTATGATATTATACCTAAACGACTGATCTCCATATTTAATGAACAAGAACTTGAACTATTGATCAGCGGCTTGCCTAATGTAGATATCGAGGATCTTAAAGCGAATACCGAGTATCACAAATACACTGCTACGTCTTTACAGGTACGCTTCGTACGTTTTTGTACGTTATATTTGACAAAGAAATTATACTCTATGTTTCATCGGTTTTTCTTTTCAAATATAGATTCAATGGTTCTGGCGTGCACTGCGAGGTTTTGATCAGGCAGATCGTGCGAAGTTCTTACAATTCGTTACCGGTACGTCCAAAGTGCCGTTACAAGGTTTCGCCGCATTAGAGGGCATGAACGGCGTACAAAAGTTCCAAATTCACAGAGAGGATAGATCAACAGATAGGCTTCCATCTGCCCACACTTGGTAATTAGACGAAAAGAAATGTTTTTTTGTTTACGCTTTCTCAAAATAGACGAAAGCTCAAGTTTAAATCAATCGTGAAACAAAACGACGCAAATTTGCTAAGACTAAGATTTTCTAATTGCAGTTTCAATCAACTGGATCTGCCAGTGTACGAGACATATGATAAACTACGTACAAATCTACTCAAGGCGATTCACGAATGCAGCGAAGGATTTGGATTTGCATAAGCTTGCTGGAACGCTGTTATTCGTATATTGTAGCAGTTTATCGTACACATATGTTGTCCTGCCTGTTCAGAGTAAACAATACGTGAACTCGCTCTTGTATAATCACGCGTTCTTGCGTTCGTGCGTCCAATCGGTGACATTCTGATGACATGCTTGATCTTCATTCAAGATCTAATGGAAAACTCGTTTAACTTGATATATACATATAGATGCACGGATATGTATATACGTATAACTAATCCTGATGTAATTACGTGAGAATAATAATTGTCAATGATACCCGTGGGGTTTATTTTGTTGAGGAGGAGGAGGAGGAGGAGGAGAAGGAGGATCTTGGAAGAAGATGCTGAGCTTAACGATAATTCCCAACAAGGAATGATAAGGAGAGATTAGTTCAGTTTTACGATAAGGATAAACTTAAGAATAAGATTCACACATAACTGTAATAGTTAGATACATTAGTTTGTCATAAGAAATAATAAATATAGGATGAAAAAAAATGTAATATACTGCACTTTGAAGTCAGCGATATGTTTTAACCGGTTCGATAGTTTGAATAGAGATACAGCGGTGGTAACGGTAGCCTGGTTCTTTACCAGAAAAAAAAGCAGCAAAAGTATAAGTGAATGAGTGCTTGTACGAATGAAAGAGAGAAAGTGATAAAAGTGTGAGTGAATGAGCGAGAGATAGAGGAAGAGAGAATTTAATCGAGAGATACTGAGCCTAATTAAAAAATTTCACAATACGAAACGCTGTCCTTCCCTAAAAACTGTATGGTTGTACACACTATTAGTATTAATAATTATAACTAATTCTTAATTAATAGTAATGATCATTAAATATCGTTTTAATATTAATCATTCGAAATGTGATGTTAAACAAGTGTAATTTCTTTTTTCTTGAAATCTAACGAAATAAAGTTTACAGTTGAACAGAATGTTACTTCATAAAATACACATCGAATGGAACAATATTAGCAAAACACCGCACAGCAAGCAGGCACCGTTATAGTTAGTTACGGAACTCCTTACGAAATTGTTAGGGAATTATTGATTAGGGATTGCAGAATAAAGTGAATGTTGTATTTCTTATAAAAAAAAAAAAAAAAAAACAAAGCAATTGCATTCTTTTGTTATTGCACAGATTATTCCTTAATTGCTAACTTCCGAGTTTCCTGAGTAGACGAATATCGAATAAAGCTGCGTAATATTACACATTTTTAGTCTCCCTTTAAAATTAGCTTAATTTTATGTATTACCGAATAAATTATTGTTCGATTAATTACATGAGAATTAATGTATGTAACGTGAAAATATATATTTCATATTTACAAAGTCGTATAAGTGTAATAATCCATATATATTAGCAATTAGAACATTGATTCGCGCGTTCAGAATGATATAAAGGTCATCTACATCTATCGTAATGTTCTATCGTAAGCTCGTTACGACAATCGCAACGTTAACCTGTCAGTCTTATCGTACGAGTTGACTCAAATTCAACTATTACGATACATTTCGACGCGACAGATTCCCTACTTCACTATTGCCTATTAGCATTACGATTTATGTAGAAAGACATTGTTTACGATAGCTTTTCCCTTACGACCACGATCACTTAAGATCGCAGCGTTACGATAGATGTAGATAGACCTTAAAGCTGCGTTCCGCTTTAACGTTCACGCGCTATGAGCATGACTTGTTTAACATTTGATAAACAATAAGAATGAAACAATTTCGTGCGCGCTGTAAGCGCCAAAAGCGTGAATACGGAACGCAGCCATAATTCGCTATGCAACACACTGTACATAACAAATTTTGTAAGTACGCTATTTTCACAAGCAATGTGCCATTGCGTTGTATGTACATACATACACACGGCGTCACAAATGCCTACCCATCTGAACTAGCAGGTGTACCGATCCATACATATGTATTATGTATATATATATATATATATATATATGTGTATATATATATATGTATATATAAGTATGTGCCCCTACAATTTCAGATGGGTAGGCATTTGTGACGCTCTGTATACGTCCGGAATGTTATCACTGGCTGCAAAGGCCCATCCATAAATGGAAGCAACAGGCGTTAACGAAGCCCTCGACCAAGGCGTACACGTCTTCCATATTCATCGGCATGTTAATCTCCGTGGATTTCCGATAAACGGCGCATAAATCCTGAAACGAATAATTAACGTTTAATTTTTCGCGTGTGACGAAACTTTTCGACTTAGATTAAAAAAAAAAATCTCGCGTATGTGTTCTACTCACTCCTCTCGATGTGTGCATGTCAATGGTCAGCATCATGAACGCTTGAAGGAGAGTCGGATGCAGTATGAGATGATGAGTGACATTCCCGTCGGAGGTAATAAATTGCTTGTGATGCTCCTGATATTTGTTCTGCAACACCTTGGACAACGCCTGATACCACGAGACCGGCTGATTAACAAGCGGACCTAGCCTAGCGTCCAGATTCGAGAGCGGCTCGATGTGGGCCAACGAGCAGAGCTCGCTGAATTCGGTATACGTCATCGAGGTCTTGCTCTCCAGTAGTTTGTCCCAGAGTAAATGCGTGCGGCACTGCAGCGCGCCGCGCTCGACCATATTCGTTATGTGCTGACGGGCAGCCTTCGCCTGGGCCATGATCATCTGTTGCATGAGCTGCTCGTGCGACGAGTAATAGCCCAGGTAGTTCACCGATTCCTGGCGAATCTGCACCAAGTGCGGCGGCGACGACGACGACGACGCGTCCGAGGCTGTGCTCGAGATGTTGGAGTTTTGCGCCAGTGGAGAATTTGGGACCGGTGGAGGCGTCGGGGCCGAATTGTTGTAAACGTTATAGCTCGCCGTATTGACGTCAGTATCTTTAACGATCCCGTCGTTCGTGGAGTCGAGATTCCTCTCCTGCTGATCGACGCTCAACAATTCCGTCCTGGAATTGCCCCTCGCGAACAACGGTGTTGGCGAAACGGAACTGGATTCCACAGGGCTCTCGGTATACGAGGTGGAGGGTTTCCCAACGCTGTACACGGTCCTAAACTTGCCCAACTTGTTGTTCTCCACTTCCCTCTTTGGATACAATTCCCTCTTGCTCGTCAACATCAGATAATATTTCAAAGTGATCTCGGTCCTCTCGATTTGCGGCGACTGCTCCATGCGCGACACGATCAACGCCACGTCGAAGTCATCTGTGCACTTCGTATCGTGGGCGTCGCAATAGCTAACCAAGGGAGTACTTTGCAGTTTAATCAGGACATATTCGTTGTCGTGAGACTCCTGGAGCTCGCCCGACATCACGAACACGCGCATGCCGTATACTTTCTCGTGTGAAAGCAAATAGGAGTATAACGTACGTGCGGGTATCGCTATATCGTGTATTGTTATCACATCTGAAACAACAATGTTAAATGTATATACTGTATTAGATTTAAAAGGAACGCGATCCGAACCAGCGAGGTGCGTTTTCAAAGCTTACCGCTGTAGATCAGATTCCTGGCGTAATTCGGTGCCTTGCTGTAATATTTGATGAAGTCATCCATAAAGTGAGTGAGATGATAACCCTGCTGCAAGGACCACAATCCAGTTCCAGCTATGTAGGAGTGAATGCAACGCAAGTGAAAATCGTAGGTGAACGAATGCAGATGCATGTTGATTTGAATCTTGTCGCAAATGTCCACGAAGCTCAATACAAACTGTAACAAGGTAATCCATTCGTAAACTATAACTGCCCTATGTGCATTGCAAGTACAATTCAAAATTTGATCTTACTTGGTTCACCATACCGCTACTCGTCTTCGTTTGCAAGCGATTGCACTCAATGATATGCAACTTTACGATGAAAAACGGCTGCGACAGGTGTACTTCGAACAGTAAAATACCGCCCAGCATCGACTTCTTGAGATAATAAGACTGCTGCTGCACGTGCTCCTCGTCCCTGCAAGATAAATGCGATTGTTCGTGCTGTAGAAATACGCGTGTGTTCATTAAATCAGGATTCAATAATTGAATTCGAACAAACGTTTTATGCGGCGACTCCACTTGGATCGGATTGAAGCCTAGAATCTGCAGATACTGCTTATATTCGGACAGCATGGACTTGCAGAGCTCTTGATGCCATTTTATCATAATCGCGTTCATCACCTCCTGTTTCGACTGCGCCGCTTGCGATGACTGTTCGTGCGCGCTGCCGTTCAAGGCAAAGTGCGACGACTGCGGCGGCGTCAACGAGTGATCCCTCGTGGCGGCGGACTGCAAACGCCAGGCCGGCAAAAAGAGGAGCGGCGTGTGGCAGAAGTGTATTAAACGAGAGTGTTGCTTGAACGTGTTTAAAGCGGTCAGCGATATCGGTATGTTAGACGTGCGGCTCTGCCACATCGCGTACAGCTTGTCCAGATCCTCTGCAAAGGACACATCCCAAATAATGTTACCGTAATCATTTTAATAGATTACTACACACACAGATTTTTTTTTTTTTTTCGATCAACGCTACCTTTGATCTTCTTTTCTCGATGCCGTAGATCCTGCAAGTCGTAGGCAGCTTTCACGATCGTGTCCGTCGTGTTGTGAGAATGCGAGGCGCTCGGTTTCGCGTCGCGCATCGCTTGCCCGACCACCTGTACCCACGAAAACGCGTTGTTCTTCGATTGCGCTCGATTGCTCGATCGCGTCCAGTCTTTGCTATCGGCGTTCGACTGACTTGGAAATTTTGCTAGACTTTCCATATCGTTGATCTGGTAATATTGAGACCCGTGTTCAGTTCTCTGTTGAGGTTCTCGGGTGAGCTTGTGATGAAATATACCCAACTTCTGCATGATTATGTTGGTAAATAGACTCGATCTAGAAGAGAGCCATGTGCCTAAATTTGTCGTTTGTTTTATCAACTTTTCCGACTTTTCCTTGGACCAGTTGTACATATAAATGATTATCTGAAAATATAATATAAGGTTTGAATATTCAATCTTTATCTCACTCGCAAATATTTTTTATAGTTGTGCGTTATAAAATAAACACTAACATTGTCACTTAGTATTTCAGCTAACAATATTCTCTGCCTAGGCACAAAATTCGATTCCGATATCAGGGGATTAAATTTTTGCAATTGTTTTTGATCTGTAACATAAAATGCGAAAGAGATATGTGTAATGAGATATGTGAGATTTAAGAATTTATTAAACTTCACTGACCTTTAGGAGCAAGCAGTTCCGGGTCTATTTCTTTACCCAGAGATGCCTTCCATTGATGAAAATTCCTTGCGATCAAAATGCATTTGATGTAGGCAGTTTGTTCGTCTTTGTTAAACTCGTGTGGCACGTACACGGGTGAATTTACGTCCTCTTGATCCGTATTTTCTGCTAACGACTGATCGGAACTGTTTCGAACATTGTCGGACCACTTGGGCGCGGAGCCAGTTTTATGCGAGACAACAAATTGATTTAAGAATGGTTGTCGATCTTGTAAAACGAAAACTTTGCTAGACGTGTCTGGATCCTGACTGCGTATGAGATTCTGCAGTTCCCTCACAATCACGGGAATCGCGTGCCTATGGTGAATGACCACCTCGTGCCTCTTAACGGCGGGAACCCCCATTTCCAGCGCAAACTGAAACCAGCGTGCCAGCGTAGTGTGATAAGTTTCATCCAATTTTCCTTTCTCGCCGAGCTCGTACGGATTAATCGTTAAATTCTCGGAAACTTTTTGTGACTGTGACGCCTTTACGGGCGTCGGAACTTCTTTGTTTTCCGTAATTTCTCCGACCGCTGTCGAAGGATTAATTATCGGTTCCGTCAGGGGAGTCGCTAGAAGATTGTACTCCGTGACCAAGTCCCATGTACCATGTTTCACCGCGGATGACAATTTCAGAATTAAGGACTCCAGGTTGACTCTGCCTTGCTTCCAGATTCGAAATTCGATCAATGTTTGCGCGCTCGGTTTAGAATCGCTTTTATGATTGTAAACGTTGGTCGATACGATGCTCTCAAAATTCTCGACTCTCAACAACTTAGGAAAGTCGAATTTCGATTCGTCACTCGAGTCATTCGGGTACGCTGCTGATTCTCCCTTGCCGTCGGTGATGGCTAACGCGATGCAAGCTATACCTTTGCTACCACTCGAGTGGCTTTGATTATACAAAAAGATATCGGATTCGGATACTCTCTTCCTGGTGCCGTCTAACGGGGTGTAATCCTGGAAATGATAGTGCGCGCCGAGATCCGTATATTTCGGCGTATACAAAAATTGCAGTATATTTTGCCTCAAATAATATCCTAGAGCATCCATATGTCGTAAGCAGTGCGGCTGCACTGATAATTGCACTATACACTCGGGAGACTTGTACGGTTTTTGTATGAAGTGCACGTCCGCCGGTGTCAGCTTGCACATCGGATTACGTGCCAGCATCTCAGACAGCACTTTCAGCACCGCGTCATCGAGACGATTTTGCAATACTTGAACTAAATCCCGTTTGACTTCCGGACCAGCTTCCGATATCCCGTGTACCATCAGGATAATCGAATCGCCAGTTCTGTTCAAGATATCGGACTCTTTTTCACCGAACGAGCGAACTCTAGGCCTGGTGTCGTTCGCTATTACATGATCGTTCACCAGGCCGATGCCTTTAGCCTGCGACAAGGACGCGATGCTATTACTGCGCGAGACAACTAACTTTTCGTCGCTCTCGGATAATTTGTTCTGCAAAGGTTTAACGTCGTTCATCTGCTCGTGAAGTCGCAGATAAAATACATTCTCGTTGTTCTCCTGGTATACGAACATATTATTTCGATTATTAACGGAGAGTCTGTTAAGCACGCCGTGCAACGCTTTGATCCCTCTCGATAATCCGGATCTTCCAGGTCCGGTTTTTAAGCGAGGATGCAGATTGAAGGGTTCCTCCCAAATGACGGGGCATCTGAACATGCCTGGTGTAACATTCGATGTTGAAGAACTGTGATTCTGGAAAAGATTTCCAGACTCACCGCCGGTTTCTCGCCAGGCATTATAATCCTCGGTGGATTCGGGTTCCAACAGTAGATCACATATGCGAGTGTCGTGAAGATTTTGTAAAAGTAAATATTGATTTACACGCCGGCATATGGCTTTGATTTGAGCGAGCAGCATTTTCTGTATTTGCGAATAACTGTCCACTTCTGGCGAAGAGAGTTCCAAAAATCTGCATAATAAACAATTATAACGTTATAAATCTTTTTTTATTATATTATATTGCCCATTTACTGTAACAACGATATAACTTAAAAATTGTCATTTTTTTAGTTGCTTATAAAAAAAGAATGGGAACAGAGAAAAAAAAGGGAAAAACATAAAAGTATATATTCTCTTTTCTACAATCAGGAATGAAAACTTCCTAATGGAGGATATAAAGTTTTCCACACTTAGAGCTCCCGTGAGTGTAAAATTCCATCCCCAGAATTCGGAGTGTGGAATTAAAAAAAGGATATTTTAATTCTTGACAAATTTTAAGAAATTTTGAGTGATTGATAAAAAAAAATTAAATATAGAATATATGTAGAAATTATATTTCGCACATATAACAAAAGACATAAAATATTTGTGTTACCGAAACCACCCCCCTCCCCTCCCCGCTTGGATAAGGTATTCCACACCCAGAAAAGTCAAGTTTCCGTATCTATCTACAATCAGTTTGTTACATCAAAATTGCATTTTACAACTTATATAACAAAATTTTAATGATTTAAGACATTCAAACTTGTTTTTTATGAAAAACTTTGTTTCTGAGTTGTGCCTTTGTTATAGCAAATGAGCAATATGTAACTGTTGCTGTATGAATAGAGCAACACAAACTTTTTACTTTGATTTACCAACCTGCAGTGAAAATAGACATTAACATGATTATTTTCAACATTCATAATTAGCCAGAAATTGGGTAAACAATCTCTACGTTTGTCAAGTTGTATCAACCACTGATAATCATCCTCAGAATTACTGCTGTCGCCTTCATATCCATCATCAGTCCCGTGTTTTCCTTCGGCTATACTTGATATTTCAGAGTAATAACCCGGCGCATCTCCAGAATCTTGTCCGTTTATTTGTATTGTAGTAGGTATTTCTTCTTGCTCCATATTTTCAACGCTTTCATCTGCAAATAATTACATTTTAATTAAATAATAATTTAAAGATATGAAAAAAATTTTAATATTTCAAAATTTTCAATATAATTTTGTTAAAATATTATTAATAATCTTCTTAAAAAAGATGTGTGTGTGTAAATATATATATATACCTATATACATATTTTTTTTTTATTACACTTTGTGACAATCGTGCGAGAAGCTGTATGGCTTTCTGTGCCAAAGACCCAGGTTCAAATCCACCCAGAACAATATAATTCTAAATCAGTTTTAATCGATTATGGAAGCGATTGCCACTTCTCGAAAAGCAAAGCCAAACCACCGAGAGCAACACTCAGGAAAGTCTCTTTTAAAGCAGCGTCTACAATGAGACTTAAGAGTTAAGATTTAAGATTTAAGAAAATTGACCAAATCACAATTGATTAGTCTTTTTCGCATGAGATGAATAATCGACTATGATGGGTCAATTTTCTTAAATCTTAAAGTCTCATTGTAGACGCCGCATAATAGGTCGTTCGGAACCGGCGTTAAAAACTATAGGTCTTATATCTGCGGATATATGTAGAAAAGATCGTTTACATGCCGACAAGCGTATGGCACGCGAAGAAGTGTATTGTAAAAGCATGTTAATAAATCTGATAATACAAAAATTTATTATCAGACTTATTAACACATGCTTTTAAAATAATCTAGCATATATTTGCGGATATATGCAGAAGAGATTACCTACGCGCTAACAAGCGTGCGACGTGCGAAGAAAATACACTTTGTATTATAATTATTCAATAAATTATCTAATTATAAAAAATAAATTATTTACCATCTTTTAATAGCTGTTCCTCTACATCTACATGTAATATATCCGCTTCTGTATCAGGTACTATTATTTCCGGTTTCTTAACGAAGTAAAATAAATCGGCCTCTTGGCAAATGCAGTACTTGTCAATCTCGAGATTTTTCAACTCCTTCAAAAATTTCGGTGCGCTGCTCTCTGATGGGAAAACAAAATGCAAAGGTACTTTATCCATCGAGCAACTGGATCTTCCGGTAGATTCCGACACGTGCTGTGCTATAAACTTCAACGTGTTTGCATTCGGTGAAGGGTGATCCAGAAGTGCCGTCGCAGTCTCGTCTCGCAACAGCCACTCGATCTCATCCCTCAAGCTGATTACCGCATGATGCTGCGGCAGCTGCGGCATTCTTTCCTGCATCGAGTCGGTCTTCGCATTTGTACTCGGGCTGCTACCGCTCGGCACGCTACCGAACGTCGAAGCGCTGCAGTAAGACGTCGTTCTCAATGCAGGATAACGTTCCAACGACACCTCTAACACTTCTCTTGGGAGGCTCAAACAAATGATATCCAAAGTAACCTTCAGATCGTCCAGGCTTAATTCAGCAAGATTCCTTTCCTTGCCGTCATTAATCCTTTGGACGATCTCAGTGAAGCAAGTGGGCATCACTTTGACGGGTATACTGGAGAGCTCGGAGCGGAAACGAATCGAACAGCTCAAGTGTAAGAAGAGCGGCTGATCTTTCATGTGCCACGTGTTTTCCTCGTCAAAATCGCTGATAAGCGAGTCCTTGGAGTTGGAATGGGACAGCTTCTCGTTGTTATGAAGATTTGTAACCGGCCATGTAATATTGACAGCTTGACTTACTGGCAAGTAATAATATGTACACATATATTTAATACATGTTCTATAATATAAAAAAGTAATACAATAAAATATAACAAAAATTGTCATGCCTTTATAATAAGAATATATTTTAATAATTTTACCTTGATTAGAAGAATTATCTGTTTTTGGAGCTGGCATTTCAGAGTGACATGTAAAGTCATCTAGATCGTCATCGCTATCTGTTCTCTGTGACACCACTTCCTGAAAATAACACTTTTGTAAAAACAAAGTCTGCATAGTCTCATCATTAAAATAATACAAAAATATCAAGAGAAACGAACCATTTTTTCTGACATCCACGACGGTAAACAGTAGTAAAATTCTGGATGCGCAGGTACAGGCCTGAATGCGACTGCCATGATCTTTTTAAATTTATTTTTTATCAAACTGTGTAATGGTTTAACATCGTTGCACGCGGAGATTTTCAACTGATTCAGCAGATCGCCTTCCGGCAACATGCTCAAATGCCTGCATACCGATCGTAAATAATTTGTAATATTAATCTCGATCAGATTTTCCTCGCATTGTGCCACGGCAGCCTCCATGTCCTCGTAGCTTAATGATTGTTGCAGTGCAAGTGATTTATAAACCGCGACCACGTAGCAATGACAATGTGCTAAGCTCAACAATTTGCAATGCTCCATCAAACTTCGTTGATCTACGATAAAAAAATCGATCCTGTTAGAAACATTTAGTTGCTAACATCAACGCTTTTAATAACGCATTAATTAAGAAAGTAAGATATTGACAATAAATATTCTTTAAAAGATTGCATCTTTCTTTTACGTTATTAATGTCGTATGTCAAAAACTGTTTGCCTACCACTAGAAATATTGTCAGAGTCTTCACTCTTTGGCTCCGGAGACGAAGGTTTTGTATTGTTTTCTGATTTGAGACTAACGAAATCTTCGGAAATTTGCTCTCCGATCTTAAAAGTGTGATCCTGATAGATGTCCTTATTCTGAGGTGTTTGCAATTGGCCGACCAGTGCATCAATTAATAATGCTAGCGAACAATCATACACGTATACAGGTATAACGAGGTTTCCCTCGGTGTCGACATTATCAAAATTATGATGGTCTACATTAGCTTTCGACGTGCTATTTGCGGTGGTGGATTGACTAGAAATTTTTGACTCCCTGCGTTCCAGTGAGAGAAAGTCAGGTAAATTCTCCGGGCACAATGTTGGAGACGATACCTTTTCGTTCATATCGAGGTCGAAAATGTCGGAATCGCAATTCTTCTCGGAATTGTTACTTGTGCAATTATCGCCCGTGTACATTATCAAGCGGACATCTTTTTCAGTTGCCGGTAATATTGTGATAATGACGTGCGTCGTGCTAATTCCTTTAACGAAACACTTCCACCTCGGATAAATATCTGATACGTCATCTCTACAATTCTTCTCTAAAAAAAAGACGTCACACAACACAAAATAATTTAAAAAAGCTGTGGAATATTATACTTTTGTAAAAAAAAATACAAAGAAATGTAATAATGTAAAATATTTATTAACTTCGTAAAACGAAAATTGAAGAGTCTAAGTATTGTACCTCTTTGCATAAAGAAAGGTAACGGTGGAACATTCTCGCGTGGCCTGTTAAGAAGCATTTTAGTGAACCTCTGCGATTCCGCCGACGTAAGCAACAGCTCTTTATTGTGCAATTGTTTCATATGTTCCAGAAAGTTTCCCATAAGAATTCTATTCGCGCTATCTCTATCCTCATCGATATGTACGGAATCTAATAAAATAAGATCAATTACTTTTCGATTTCCATTTCTACTCATTGTTTTTTAAATCGGAAAACAAGTTCCCTAACCATCGGCGAACATCGAGAACAAGAGTTCCGCCTGCTGACACTTTGACAAAATGCTCAGCGTGTCGAAGGAGAAGTACATGGGATGTATCCTCTCATCGATGATCGGCGTCGCTTCGAAGGGCTCGGTCGGATTTGGACATTCCGAGATACGATCCGTGGACGCGCCCACGACACCGTGATACTTGACTCCTTGGTGCGCTTGCCCGAACACAATCTCGGTATCTTTTTCCACCGGTGTTACTTGGCACAAGAGGCTCAAGTATTCTAGGGTCAATAGAGCGTTAATACATTCCTCGTCTATTCGGGCAATCTAATAGGACAAAAGTGATAATACCATAGGATTTACAAAAATAATTTTAATATTACATGCGATATAAATACAAATAAACTTATGTGTACAAGTAAACATCCTGAAAAAACTTTGTGTCGGATATATAATAGCTTACACATTCGATATTATAAGTTCTCTCTCTCTCACTCACTCAGTCATTCTCTCTTTCTCTCTCTCTCTCTCTTTCTCTCTTCTTCCTTCCTCCATAAAAAAATATATTATAAAGGAATATAGTAAATATGAATATAGGAATCAGTGAAGGTAACATCATGCGTGATAGTTTTACACGCGATTTAAAACGTAGCGCAAATTAGAGATGTAGACATCGTCATTGTGTTTTAATCTTAAAAAAAGTATATCTTATATTTACACATACATAAGTATTAACGTTTATTACAATTACAAGAAACAAAAAGTTCTCGAATTAATTATAGTCTATCTGTCAAGCATTCGGTCAGCGATTAACAGATTAATCACATTCAAGTTCGTGCAGATAAGTATATCCTTCGAGCAGGTGATCAAGTCGCACAAAATGAAATGTCGATTCCGACGATCACGGGGGATCAGGAATAAGTTGGAGGAGTTGAATCTCACTTTCAATACAAAGCGCAGAGACCACTTCTCCACTTGAACCGTGACACCCACCAATGCAAGGGGGAACAATCTCGATTTCGGCGTGAAAGATTCACCTGGGGAGAGGAGCAACACTATGGCCTACGACGGCCTGCAAGACGACGTGAAGCCGCCCAACCCTGAGCTGGAAGAGTTAGATCTGACAAGTTATCAAGACCCCAGTGGTCGCTTACTGCCTAGATCTTCACTTCCAACTGAGAGTCACGCGGGTACGAAGACCTCCAAAGAGAACACGGAGAGCGGATGAGCGGGTAGAAGATGCGATTCACATGCCTGTCCCAGAGGCGATTGACTATGTTCTCTGTGTTTGTACTTAATCTCGTGCGAAGTCACCTGATGATAACGAGACGAAGACCTTATCCCGCCGAGGGCTCTTCGCGGGAGGCGGACGGAAATCCAGTCGGATTATCTTCTCGGAAGAGGATCGCGAATAAGATTCATCACCGAAACCGGATGACCGAGGCCTCAAGGACGATGTCGTGCGAAGGCCACGCCACGACTTGGCCCATGCGACGGAAACCGTGATCACTTTCAATCTGCGTGCGAAACGTGATAAAAGAGTCGTCACCAGGGATTCGATGATAAGAGACTTGGGAGCACGTAGAGCCCCGTGGCAGAGGTAACCCGGACGGACGGTGCGGTGTGCGTTGTAAAATTAACGCGAAAAAGATAATCCGATCACTAGTGAGCGCAGGGCGCGTATTGGGCCCTATATATATACCTGAGGCGACTGATAGGAAAACCTCGTTCCGAGGACCCTCATCGATATCGAAGCCACACCCCGATAACGATAACGACATGTAGCGATAGACACTTTTACGTTCCCGGTTCTCCATTTCACGGGCCGTCCTTCGTCTCCGAGCCGGAAACGCGAGCCGAAAATGAGAAACTCTGCGTCTTTCGAGACGAGCAATAAGCACTCCTTCTCGTCAGTAAACCTTTCCGAGAGACGCAAGTAAAGAGTCAAGTGTAATAAGTCAGGATCATCGTACTCGAATTTTATTCTCCTTTCAGCAGGCGGGATATAAAAATTGGAGATAAAAAAAAAATTACGTGGAGAAATAAATACACTTGCCCAAGCGGATGTGTCCTTGCGCGGGACGCGCGTAGACAAATGTTTGCGTTATTCGTGATGTGACGATAACGACTTTCTGATGACTTGACATTACTTGACTCCACCGTTAGTACTTCCGACCTGTACTTCCGATGGGAAAATGATAATCGAAGAAAAAATATACGTTCCACGTGTGAAATCTATTCCCGTTCGATTATCGGGCATGACCCTTATAGATCCATCGCAAAGACCCGCGAGAACTTCGAAATTCAGAGACGATATGCGCAATGTCATCAACGTAAATTCAATTCCTAAAATGAGTGTTTGTGCATTTTTACTTCAATTTAATTCGATTTAATTATAATATAAACATTAATTATAATATAAACGTTAGAGTGCACATAATTTACAAAGTAAATGAATGTGCTGAGAACACGTTACATTATTTACGCATTATCGAGACGGTTGAGAAGTAAAAATTATGTTTAAAAAAAAAAGATTTTTCTTGGAAGAATAAAATCATTAATCAAGTAGATTATTTCACTGATGTGATGAACAAAATATAATCTATAGAGCGTATCAATGTCGGCGTATCTTGAAGTTTGGTCTTCTGATTAGTAACGTTCTCCAGGTTACGAGTAAATCAGATAACAGTTATCTAGTTATCGTGTGAACTTATACTAGAATTATATTCGTATTACGAAAAATATGATACAGATTTCAATTTTATCGAGCACATCTACAGAAAACAGTAATTTCTCATTTCTCTATTGAGATTTATAAAAATTAAAATAGCTATATAATCTATGATAATTTTCAAAATTAAAAAAAAATTCAAATAATATATTATAAATTAACAAATCGAATTTTAAATAGCTAATAATTTCGTTATTTGTCTGTAATATTATTTTTATGAAATACACCAAACGCATCATTTAGTCAATAAACTTCAGTGCAAAAAGTAGATGAAAGTCAGTTACTAAAAAAAAAATTACGAAAATTAATGTATTACATAAAATGTTAAATCTTCCTTTTCTCTCTAATTAAAGCGTGGAAGAAAGTTAAAACAAAAGTCATATTGCGATGATAGAAAGTATCCGTATCGTCCTTCATCGTAAAATGACAGTGCATACACGGATTTCATAAGCATCTCTATCAGAAATGGAAGAAAGATAAGATTGAAGATAAAGCTATATTACATGCTATGCCATGAAGTTAAGATATTTACGCGATTCACGATTTATTGCTGCATCGCTTTCGGTAAATTATTAATTTAATCTCCTTTTACTTTTATCAGAGCCATTTGTTCAATGTTCATATGTACACGAGATACTTTATCTTTTAATATTAGATCTAAAAATTACACAATGTTGCCTACCAAGCACTGTGAATTATATAAACTATTTGTATAGACGCGCATTACGAAGTAAAACCAATGGAAACCGAAACAAATAGAGCAATTGTTAAGTAAATAAAATTTTCTTCAGTCTAATCTAATGTATCAATGTAATGTTCTAGATTATTCTAGAAGGTAGGAATGAAGCAAGGACACCAAACTTTCGCCGAAACTTCGAGAATGCGGATGGGCGTACACACAATGGCGGTACACACATCAAGTACATGCTATGAAGCCTGGTAATTCAAACTAGAAACGGAGTAAATTAAATAATTTGCTATCGCTGAGCGATATTAGATAGATCCAGTACCTAGCAAAACACTTTAGAGGACTGTACGTCAGAATAATTTTTGTGTTACCACACGCATTATCAAGTTAGCTCAAGATAAGGAGGAGCTAATGCCGGAAAGTGAACGTCCGTTTTAGAAACTTGTGAAGATAGAGTTACTATGGGATTATTACGAAGGTAATCAGTCTTATACACGCGATATTTGACATTAATTTGAATAAGTGACCTTGAAAATTGCTAAATAGCTGTTTATACGTTGCAACAATCTAGTAAAACAAATATGCGAGATAACATGGAATTTTCTTGGAATATTATTTACGATTGCGGATATCGGAGATTACGTGACACATAAATATCAATGATTAGTATTGCAATTTTTAATATATCCACCGCTTTATAAATTACGTATATATATTGCAAGTATATCGCAGAAGTATCAAATGAAGATATCTTATCATTCTCAAGACGTTCAAGGAATTAAACCCGTCTTATCAATTTAAGCGAGCTCATAAATGTGTATTGCAGTAGACTAAACTTTATTAAAATGAATAAACTATATAAATATATTTGTTTTATATACACTACATAAAAAAATTAAAGGACCAACTATTTAGTCCTCCAAAAATAGGAAAATTTCAAGAGAATGTATCTTCGTAAAAATGATCCGAGATGTTTAAAAAAGCAACTTCTAGAAGTTTCTACTTTTCAGATTGATACTTTAGAACATCTTATTGATTTTTCACGAGGTTACACGAATACAAATAAAGATGCGACAAATCTCAAAATGTTTTATTAATCTTACAAGGTTTCATAGCATAAACTATAATCGCACACAAATGAAGTTTGCAACTTTCGCTGTTTAAATATTTACTTTTAATTAATTTTTTTTGTTAAGCGTTGCGCAATTTTTTTTCACTGAGTTATTTAACAATAAAGGAAAAATCCTATAAAGCAATGATCCTATTTGCTTCATTATTCAATGTCACTCGGTGAAAAAAGTTTTGAAATCTTGAAATTTGTCTATTTTTGGAAGGCAGAATAAATAATTCTTTAATTTTTTTACGTAGTGTGTATATGTATAAAAAAAATATATGTATATTTTTTTTATAGACTGATTAATCTGTATCCAAACGGATCATGAAAATTTCTAATATGTATATATAAAAAAAAGCTAATGAGTATATTAATTAAATTGTTATTTATTAATGAAGCGCGCGCGCACGCGCGCACGCACGCACGCACGCACGCACGCACGCACGCACGCACGCACGCACGCACACACACACACACACTCTCTCTCTCTCTCTCTCTCTCTCTCTCTCTCTCTCAAAATTTTACAATTTTTATAGTTAATATCATGACTGTACTTACTGCATCTGGTAATTGATGATACTGCAGAGGATGCATATACATAGCACTCGACTGTGTAGGCATTTGTACATAGCCACATTGTGGTTCGACCCAAACCTCTGTGACGATTTGAAAATCGCTGTACCCTTCGGAATCTTCGGTCCATACTTCCGCCTCAGCGATACCTAATATGTAAAAATCATTCGTTTGTTGTATAAACAATCCTTTTATTTATTCAGACTCAAACACTCCTACCTTCTTCCGTGTCATCTTCGGTACTGCTATCACGTTCTAATGCTGCATTGGGCACAACATGCGGCGGAAATAAAACGTACTGAATAATACACGGATAAGAATTCTCGTCGTTCCCGAAGCCCTGCATTTGCACTTCTAACACCATGTTTGTAATACCAGCTGCCGAATACGCGAAATTAAAGCCCTCTCCTAAACGTATTCTGCAAATAGAATAGATATCTCACTGTCGTTCTTGTAATTCCCGTAACATACCAATGAAAATACTATTTACTTCGTAATTGTAGAGAGTATTCTCGCGATCGCAGTGATATTTAGTCTGGACAAAGTAATTCCCGGGATGGTCTGAACGAACGGCCGTTTCACGTGCCACAACCAACGATTGTGGTATAAATATCTGGACAGGGTAGTTGTTAGACTACCTCCCAGTGCAGTTCTAGTGCTGGTCGGCTGAGTTCCGTCAGGAAACACCACCATACTCAAATTGCTCGGTATACGCTCGTATCGCACGAGAATTCGCTCGAGCGATTTATGTATTATCGTGCAACACGGAATCTCACGTTGCTCCGTCGGCCTATTTGGCAACGTGAGCTTGGACAGTCTGTCCACGAGGTCTACAACTACGTTGTGACGGACGACGCCCTCGGTGCCGCCGGCGAATGCTATATTGAGCACGACGCAGAGCGCTTTGCAATTAATGCGAATCAATGAGAATGACACCGGCGGCTTCTCCGCCTCTCTGTATATGAACTGGACGTACGTGTGATTCTCGACTAGTACAAAAGTCGCCCAGTTTTTCAACATAGCGTACAACACGGCCGCCGCTTGCCGGCTCTGAACGCATTGGAAACGGCCGCTCTGATTCGCTTGATGAAGATGTCTCGGCAACGGTCTGTCGTAAGCTAGAATCAACGTAATCCTCTGAGTGTGCATCCAACGCGCCCACTGAAGCGGGTCCAAAGAGACAACCGGTTGCCATATCTGTCCAAACTGCGGGCAGGCGGCGTCACTGTAAAAATGATAATACCTAGTTACGTCGAATAATTACAATTTTTTTCTTTATTTTGAACAACTACATCTGTCATAGTCATATTATATAATAATTGCTATCGGTTATGCAAGCAAATGAATATACCTAAGCTGTACTGTACTTGGCGATGGATAAGACGATAAGTAAAACACAGGCATTCCGCTTCTGATGGTGTCAGGTACACTGTACCAAGTCCATCCGGATCCCGGAAACCAACTGAAGTGTGCTAACGTATTGTCGCTTTCTGTTAACGATGTCAGCGCCGTCCAAAAACGAGAGATAACACCTTGGCGATAATGCGAGTTCAATGGTTTTTTTGACAGGCATGTAATGTCATGTAAAAATTCGTATGGCGCTGCAACAAGAGCTAATTTTAGTTCAGGCTACGGACAAGCGTGTAATTATGTTCAGCATCTTAAATCATTGATTAGCATCAATCTACCTTCTATGGTAATGGTATATTGTATCACGTTGGATAGAGATAATGATTTTGAGGACCATGGACACGTTACTGAATATTCCAAGGAAACGTTGGTTTTCCATAATAATACAAAATTTATTTCAAGAATGTCGTCTCGTACGCTAGCCCTTTTTATTAGATATCCTTCTCTCAGACGACAACACAGCAGACTGCTTAAAGTACAAGTAACTTTGTCGTCAATCTGTTTTTTCTTCAACAGTTGACCGCTTTTGTGTCCATGAAAGCAATTATTTTCAGTTCGCCAGCAGTGACGATCCGAGGTATCGTCGTCCGATACGTCGCGGTATAGTTGCCAACATAAAAAATGTTTATGATAAAGATTCATATCTGTCCCGTGTACAGGTATCTATAGATAAAACAGTTATATTGCAATTAATGTTACTGCTTACTCGGGTGCAGCAGTATAGATTAGAGTTCACACTTATATTTTGTTTTTATCGACATTTAAATGCATCTTTAAATACATTTAGCATATAATTTACATTATATATACTATAGAATCTCATGGTAAGTTTGACTCGCACTACACATTAGTGCACGTTAAATGCTGTTACATATAAAGTTACATCTAAATGCAGTGGCATAATATAATCAATTTTAACAATCAAATATTACATGTATATCTTATTGTTATATGTTAAATAATATAACAATGATTATTGAGTAATATAATATTTAATCGTTCAAAATATTTATCTGCTTTTACAATTAACTTTGCTAACTTGTGCATAGCAGTTTTTAATATGCACTAATCTAGGAATAAATAAACGTATTTATTGATAAAAGTGAGTATGAATACCAATCTCAGGCTACGTTCCATTTGGCGCTTGCAACGTTTTCGGAATCATTTCATCCCTGTTTTATCAAATGTTAAACAAGGACTAGATGATGCTCGCGAACGTTACAAGCGTTAAGTGAAACACACCCCCAGAAGTTTACGTACCACGTGTGAAGTGAAGGACATGTAACTACCGAGCGTAGCCGCGGCGATGAAATACAACAGATCTTGATTTGGCACCAAACCGTCCGCGCAATGTGGATCGTACGCGCTACCTACGCGCAAAAAGCTACACGCGACTGTCGTTGCGCGCAGCTGCTGTATAATGGAATCCAACGTGTGGGCATTCTTGATTCCGACGATACCGTCCGTGACGATTACCATATCTGAAAATGTTTCCTTCTCTGCACTCTTCGTTCGCCGTAACACCTTCGCTTCCATCGCCTCGCATAGCGATTGTGCATTATAGGTAACAATGTAATCCGCTAAATACGATCATAAATTGTCAACTTACGTGCACAGCTGTGCTCGGGTAAAAGTGTCAAAGCCAGCATCCCGTACCTCAGCATATTTACAAAACTGGCTTCCGGCGACACTATGGAGATATTACAGTTATTTTTGTTCAAGCAGTTGCTACTTTCCTCAAAAAGCCGCCCTACCAAACGCTCGCTCTCTGCCCTTAAATTTTCTAACTGCTGATTAGCTATGGCCGTGACGGCCGCCACTCTCTCCTCCAACAGGTACAACTGCTTTTCTACGTATTGCGTGAGGGAATTCACGTTGTCCGCAGTGATAAGCCATCCTTGTACTAGCACTTGCTGCGCCGGGCTCGTAAAGAATGGCGTATGAGCTATCACAGTCACATAAATTTCCGGCTGCATCACGCGTCTGCTGCCTGGTATCGTAAACTACAAAACATAATTAAAAATCTTCCTGTCTTTTACATGCAGTTGCGCAACGCCGCAAGAAAGGGCGGGTACTCACAGGTCTGGTTATACCTTCCAGACATCGTCTCGTCGCCAGACACACTTCATCAATGACAATCTCTCCGTTCTGCACGTCCTAAAAAAGAGACATTTTATTTTTTTCGCACGTCGTGCAACACAAAAGTTAATATCCCATGACAAAATTGTTAATTTTCGTAAACACTTACAACAGTGGCAAGCGACGGACTTAAATCTAAGCTAAAGACCATCCTGTACTTGTGCGCTAGGAATACAATTGATGTCGTTGAAACAACTTTATATAGGAATTGATGGCTGGTGTCTGTGGACCATGTGACAGGCTTATCCCTCGGCAGCACCGACACTACCTCCAGCTCTGGCTCCTCCTTATTTTTCACACTCGGACATTGTATACTTATCACAGAGTCCAAATGCTCCAGCAGCCATTGAGCTCTCACATTGCGAGAGATGGGAAAGCCCTTCTTCATTAACAGGAAGATAGTCTCCGCTTCTAACACGGTTCTATCCTGTGCAAACAAAGGAAAAAGCTACAGTTAACAAAAGCAGCATAATCACTACAATAATTCTTTCGAACATCGTTATTTTCGCTCAGATCACTCAGATTCATTATAGCGATACTTCAGATGGCACAACAAAAGGCACTTCGTTCCGTTAAAAACTTCGAGGTACATTTTATATAAATTTAACAGAAATCGTGAAGATTGTGAGAGACACTTCGTTAGCATATTCCACATTCTTCTGACAGATTCCGCATTGACAGGTATCAGTCGCGGGAAGAGGTTATGTCCGTCCGCGTCGTCGAGGAGCGGCGTCGAAGGAAGGCTGTTGCGACGCAATCAGCGGTCTTACCTCGTTCCTCACGCTCGCCATGACGAAGTTTGCCCGCGCACGTTCTATATCAGTCTATCATTGTTAACTAAAAAACTATATCGGCCAGCAGGTCGTCGTCAGCACGTTTGAAAATAAATCATCGCGACGCGCGTGCAGCGCAGGACATTGCACCGTTGCGATCGGAGAAGTAAACTGCGCGTCCGATCGGCCAAAGGTCACGTTGTCGCGTTTACCGCGATGTTTGCGTATATTCGCGGAGCGATAAACATACTTCAACATAACCTCAGGCGGGCTGTGTGCACGCGCCACGCGATGACGTTACGCCGCGTGCGCCTGGAATGCACGCCAGCTGGATCCGCGCGCGAGCGCGCGCGTGCGGGCACTAGGTAAGTATACATGTGCAAACACATAGAGTAACTGTCCCTATTAGTGTGCTTTTATATTTAAAGAAGTCATAAAAATAAACTGGTACAAATAAATAGACAAAGTGTTTTTTTTATTAAGTTAATACTTTAACTTAATAAAAAAAAAACACTGTCTATTTACTTGTCAGTTTATTTTTATGACTTATTTAAATATAAAACACATTTAATTATATATAGGGACGTACAGGCACACTAATAGGGACAGTTACCCTACATACGCGTTGCGCGTATGTCGAAACATTCGCCGAATTTCTAAATTTCTTGCGAGAAACTCTCCGCGCAGCGCATCGCTGAATTGGAAAAAAAATTAATCCTCTCGCGATCACAACGCTAACAAGAATCTTTGATTCTGAGAATGTTTGAAAAATATTGTCGGTATGTATTGCCATAAACCATGGTGTTGGTCCATGTGTATTGCTAATTTTTTAGCTGCTTTTCCATGTATATTATACATTGTCAGTAGTATATCTGTAGTTCACACTATGTCTCATCAAATAAAACAAGTCCAAAATCTTAAGACGAGAACGAAAGAGAACTTAAGACGTCTGAAAATATATGTCTAAAAGCATTAAAAAATACCTAAAAACATCTTTACAACTGATGTCTAAAATATATGCGATTTTTGTCTCGATTTTGAACTTAATTATATTGCCAGAGGGGTATAGTTTAATTTTATATTTTTCAAAAAAATATAAAATTTTTAAATTGCAATCAATTAGAAAAAGAATATTATATATACTTATATTATTTTGAAAAATAAAACTTAAGTGTGATAGTATCTTTTAATTAAAAAAAAAAAACTCAAGTGATACATGTATCCAGATAGCAGTGTTAAAAAAAAATTCATTCGTATGTTGTCGTATATCATCATTTCTAAATTCATTTTTGGTGCTATTTTTATATTCTTATTTAATAAAAGTTTTCCTCTTTCAAATGATAAGTAGCTTTAGTTCTCTTTAAAATATCACAGAATTGTGTTACCTAATTCAGTAATATATATTTTTTAAAATATGTATATACAATACATATTTAAGTAGAAAAACAATTTAATTAAAATAAAAAAATGTACAATGCAACCAATCCTACTCATTATCAGTCAAATGGACAAATTTATATATTATATCTAATTATATTTAATTGTAACAGAAAGTTACAAAAGTAATTTGTTTTCAATTAATTTAAACAACATAGAGTTTACATCGAAAACGTATATATAATTAAATCTTTATTAAGATAATTTCAGTTAGAATAATTAAATTAATAATATATAATAATTTATTTTCTGGATAATCTAGATCATTCATATCACATGGCAAAAATACAATTAATTGGTACACATTTAAAACAACAGATATCAGTAGAACATCTTAAGTTGAATTACAACTATTTCTACTAAATGTAGATTAATATTAATCTTTTCAATAATCAATCTCTATAAGAATTCGAATCTTGTGAGACAATATAACGATTGACTTTTTTATTGCCTAAAATAAGAAAATCTTATATACTTTTAATTACTTAGAAATTATTTATTAACATTTTTTTATTTTACAGAGACAAGTGACTGGCGATTCTTATTTTTACAAATGATAGCAAATATTCCAATTTGTATAATTTGATCGAAAAGCTTGTCAAGTTTTCAATGAGATTATTCAAATCGCTCTTGAAATCTTAAATTTTTTCCTTTCATGCTTAACGAATTTTTTTTACGTCAACGAACTTCTTTCAAGTCGCATAAGGATTGTTGAACATCCACCCCAGATAGCACAAAAAGTAATCATATGTCATCAATTCTGATTTCATTTTCAGATGCAAAATTCTAAAAATTCTGAAAAAAATTCTTTTTGCATCTGAAAATGAACTCAAAATTGATCGACATACGATTGAATAAATGAATGAATTCTTTTTGAACTTTGTGTGCTATCTGGGATCATTGCGAGCATTAATATCGTTATATTAACTTTACATTCCAAACGATAAAGATCATCGATTAAGATATGTGTAAACAAGTTTAACATTGAACTTAGGGTCTCTGATAGTTATCTATATATTGAATCGATGTATAGATCTATAGATTAATCATTCTCCCTACGACTGATATACTTAAATAATTGCTATAGCCTGAGAGAAACGTTCTCCAATCTCAACGACATTCATGATAACTCGCTCACATTCAGACCGCTCCTTGTGCATCTTATTCTGCATTTCCGATATAATATATTAAATGTCAAATTCATTCTGCAATTAAGTGTATCGTAATTAGCTGACAATGTGTCAAATGTATTTAGTATAGTTACAAAATAAGAATAATTATTCTCTTACTTGTAGACGACATAACTTTCACTCTCGTAAAAGTTTCCATTTTCGGTCACGGAGAGAAATGATTTCAATCATTCAGCAAATTCCAAAATCATTCTGCAACAAGTGCGTATGCTTTCACAAACTTTTGTATTTCTTGCAAGTTTGTAAATATTTATCCAACATAGATATATATATAGAAGCAGCTTAAGTTATCCAAGAAAATGTAAATAATTATGACATTGGTGCGTTATTAATTCATGTTGTTTCTGAGTTAGTTTCTGAGTTTCTTAGATGTATCAGCATTTCAAATGACGTATATAATTGAAAGGTGTACAAAGTTAGATTCTGAGATATAGAAAAACTTTATAAACATAGGCATCGAGTTAAGGGGCAGGTGGAGGGCAGAGTACTTTTCGCTCCCTCAATAAGTTTTACTTTTTCGTTTTCTGTTTTAACAAAAGATTTTTTAACTGCAAATAATTTCTGCGATCAAAACAACTGTAAAAAAAGTATCGGCCAGGCAATACATTAAGTAACGTTGACGCGGTGAACTAAAGCTGGCGCGTTGTCTACTGTCCGTATCTGTAACGGCGATATAAAGGTCGCCGTATAATAATTCAAATACCTAACATAAAATAGTAGTGTTAGTAAAATGTAAAATTGCATGATTCTTTGACTATTAAAAAAGGCCATCATTTGAAACATTTTTGTCTTGCCCTCCTCCCCCTTCTCTCCATCATTTTTTCCAAGTCGGCGCCTATGTTTGTAGAAAAACAGACACTTCTTCCAGTGTAGTTATTCTATAATGGATCAAAGTATCTTCAATATCGAATTATTTAGTCCTTTAAAAGTAGGGGAGGACGGGGCTATTCGGAACCGAATGTAAGCGTCATATAATAACCATACTTAAATGTCAAACTAAAAAGGCGTAACTATAAGATAAAATCCAGTTTTGACATTCGGTGATGCAGTATTCGAGATATAGCGAGAGTTCCGAGTTGCCCCGTCCTCCCCTACATTTATTAACGATTACGTTAAAAAAATTAATAATGTGCATTGCAAATTTAAGCTGAAAAGATGTATTCTAAAAAAAAAAAATTTTTAATTGCACACCGATAACAGCTAGTGCAGCTAGCTCATATTTTTCACTTTTTTATATTTCAACATATTTCATATTTATTTTGTTATTACCTTTATATTTAAGAGCCTTAATTTCATTTATATCCGTTATATCGCTGCATTCATTTCTCTAACGTAGTCGAAATTAATCCTGAATCTCGATAAAAATTCGAAATAAAAGTAGTGAAGGAAAAAATGCTTGTAGTTTGTTTCTGTTGCCAAAATAAATGCTTGTATGGTTTGTTTCTATGTTGTCAAAGTTGCATAAATTTGTCAAATATCTTGATAGCATAGCATTTGCCTATTTACATTCTTCCAATGACGGATTACTCGGACATGATGCTTTCCGCGTCGACATTGTAAATTATCCCCTCAACATTGTAGATTATCTCATGATGTCTTCTTACATCATGGATTATCTTATCTTGTAACATGATTTAATACATACACACACATATATATAT